ACATTTTTTATAAGCATATTTGTGAGCCTGCCTCTGTTATTAAATTCAATATAATTTCAGATTTTTCTACAACTTTTCTTCTGGTTAACTTAGAAAGTGAGCCATTATTGTTAAAGGTTGGTTTTCTAAACTACAAAAAAGCAACTGTTAGGGATGCTCAAATATGAAAAATTGGACTGATATTGATATCTGATAGTAACACCAGTATTATGCCAGATTTACCAATATTTCATTTTATTAATTTTTTTTATCCGATTACTCGATTAATCGTAAGAATAATCGATAGATTACTCGATTACCAAAATATTCGTTTACAACAGCCCTAATTACAATGACAAAGTATTTTCAAAAGAAGGTTAGTCTTTCAGTCTTCCCTTTATTACAAAATAAAAAAAACCTATTTTACCAGAAAAGAAACTAAAAATTACAAGAAAGAATTTGTTTTAATGAGAAAGAAAAAGCTTGGATAAAGTTATCAGGATCTGATGTGAGCAGAGCTCAGTTTGCACAATTTGAAAGATCTGCTACTGATAATTTGATGCTGATGTGTTAACAGATAAAATATTTCCATTAAATATTAGCAAGACTTGTACCAAAGTATAACTTCAACATTCCTCTTTTTATTTTGGTATTTTTTGTGTCGACATCTCAGAAAATTTATACTTTATTCTCCTAATAGCAAGACTGTATTCTTGTTATTACTTTAGTATCTTAATTAAAAATATTAATAGGTAGGCCCCGATATTCTGTCATATAGATGATCTGATCATTCAATATCCAAATAAATAGAAGCTGTAAAACAGTCTTGTCAAACAAAATGGTGGGATATGTCCATACTGACATCAACCTGAACTACAGGAGTACATTGGTGAAAAACGATTAAAAAGTTAAATACTGGGTTTCCAAAAAAACCCAGTATTAAATCTTTAAAAACCAAAAATTTGATCTTTTTTTGATCAAACAGAGAACTGATTTGATCAAATTGTTGGTCCTACCTGGATGGGGTCGGGTGAAGGGTCCATCTTTGGCCTGTGTTACCCCAAAACAGAGGAAGACCAGGATGCTGGCCACAATGCCCCTGCAACGATCAGAGAGATGGACAGGATCCCTTTGGCTTATTTTAATTCATATATAATGAAAAAAAAAACTTAAAGGGGTTCCAATTCTTTTTCTCTTTCCCATTTGAACAGACTGAGTTTAGATCTAATGACTGGAATCGACCAGGAACCCGATGCTAAGACTAATTACAGGGTTTATGCAGCTTCACCAATTCAAATTTAAGACCTGCTGAAGATAAAAAGGCAGAGCTGCAGAAAAGAAACAAAGGGGATCAAAACTGACATTTCTGTCATTCTGGAGAATTTCTGTGGCTTTGTCATAAAATTTGTGCTTCTTGAATGTGAATGACATATTGCTCTCTAGCTAGCAAGGAAATTAGCTAGAGAGCAATATGCTAGCTGTCTTGTTCATTTGCTTGCTAGCTAGCAATTAAGCAAACACACCAGCTAGCTAGTATTAGCTAATAGTAGTATTAGTAGTACTACTAGTATTAGCTCATACTACCAGTATGAGCTAATACTATTAGCCAGTAAGGGCTAGCCAGTTTTAGCAGCTAGTACCCTCAAAAAAGCAGTGAGTGAAGATGTCTGTGCACAACTCAAACTTTTGCCTGATGAAAACGTCCTGCGAGAAAAAAACCTGCATAGTATGAGATAAATTGTGCTGCTATGACAAAATTTTAAACCTGTGATTAAGATTTTGTTATTTCCCTAAAATAACGGCCCAAGTCATTTTTTTGTCAAAAGCGATTTTTTGTTGTTGCAAAAATCGCTTTAGGCAAAAAATGACTTAAGCTGTTATTTTCAGAAGGTGACGATATTTAAGGTCAACTTACATTTTCTTTAATGAATTTAAGACATTTTAAGGCCTTAACTTTAGATTAATGAACTCAAGACTTTTTAAGGATGCACAGAATCAGAGCCATGTTATGTCAGGTGATGGTACCAGTCTGAACTTAAAGCGTAGTGAGGGATAAGTAGCCAGACGTCGGCTAAAATTAAAACCAGTGCTGCTTTGCCAGCGAGTCTAGTCACATGAGTGTGACTGACTGTGCGAGTGTGTGTGGGAGGAGAATTAAGTGTGTGAGTTTGAGAGAGGAGTGCTGCATGTAAACGTTAAAGGCGGGTGCAAACTAGTTAGAGGCAGAAAAAGCAATGTCCTATAGAGTGAGTGTGTGTACATATGAGAGTGGATCTTTATCCCAACGAGCCGGACTCTGCTGATGGCAGCAAATCCCGTTAAGAGCCTTCCTACAATCTCTCACAAACGCATTAACAAACAAAACGCATCACCGGCTGCAGCTTGAGCCCAACTTCCTGGGAATCTTTCCATCAGACTTGTTAAACACACAAGCATCCTCTTACAGAAGCAAACAAAGCTAAAAATAACAATAAAAACAAACATACAAGAAGCTACGGCCCCCTCTGAAATCTAAAACAAACACAGAGCAGAACTAGATGCGATTCAGTCTGCCTTTTGGGTCCAAACCGTTGGAAAAGGTTTCAGACAGCTTACACGTTCAGCCTCTTATCCACCTGGTAATACTGTCAGAGGAAGGCCTAATGCAATTTAACAGGTAACAAACAGACCAAGAACAGAAGAGGGACTATAAATGCTGCTGCTGTCCAAGTCTGAGGAGGTGCAGGCTGTTTTTTTTGTTTTTTTTGCCACCGGTTTTCCAAGACAAAGGTCACTAAATTTTAGTAGTTCTGGCACAAACGGAGGAAAGTGAACCACATGGCAGCCGCTTGGCATTCCTCCCAGTTTCTGAGGTTTCACAGTTCTATAAAACCCACAGATGCTTGTCTTGAGTTACATTTGAGGGTTAAGTTCACAACGTAATGAGTTAGTCACCTGCAGGTGGCAGATTTAACATAAAATAACATAAGATACCTCTATGATGTGACTACTATAAAGAACATCAAATTTACCATTAATTTGTTGCATCTATAGTGAATTTCTGGCTACCTGAAACATGCTTCAGACAATTCAATTTAATATCTCACTTTTTGTTTCAACTAGTCATAATTCTGAATAAAGACCCCATAATTCAAAACATCTAAAATGTGTTTTTAGATATTAGATGCATAGATTCGACTAATTAAATCACGGATATCTTGAAAGCAAATAATGATGAGGCAAAATTAGAGTTCCACATTTCTCTAAATTAGATTTGACCAGTCAGAAGTCCTTTAAGGATATCTCCAAATAAAGTAGAGATGTAAATAGCATTCTGAAATTTCAATAAAACAATGAAAACTTTTTTAATAAAGAAAAAGAACGGGAATACGATTGCCTCACTTTTCAAAGCTGTCTTTAACTGCATTGTGTTCGTCTGAGGATAAGAAATAAGAAATTCTTTGCAGATTCTGAAGCACTTGAATGAAGTTCTTCATTCATTACTGCTGAGATCTTTACATGTTGCAGCATTTTCTGACAGTTTTGTGTGGGACTAAAAATTCTGCAGGCAGTTGTAAGGACACCTAAGTGACAGAACAAAGGGGGGCTTAAGCTCAAATGTACTTTTAACTAGTCATAATTACGTTTATGTTGTCTTGTAATTACAGATGCAATCCGGTGACATCAGGTGTGACATCTGGGAAAGAATTTTGACTCATCAAATTAAAATCTTGAATTATTATTCTGACTGGTCAGAAAGTGAATGCCGGTGTTGCAAATTACCATTTGGGGTGGTCAGAGTGTAGTTGACTCTAGTCAAAACTCATTTTTAAATATCTACGGATAGTCAGACGAAAGTCCTTTTACGTTAAAACAGCCTGCCATAAGTCACCAGTTATAACACTTTTCCTCTTTGTGGTTCTCACTTTGCCATTTTCAAAGCTGCATCTCTGAGGCATCTTTATGGTTGCGCCATCAGCCAGACTAATTAAATACGCACTCGCAGAAAATTACTCAAAGACAAACTGGATGGAAACAAATGGAGTGGGTTAATAGTTTTCCTCCTCTGATGAAGTGCTTCCAGCCACATGGCGGGAAGCATAATCCAATCAAGCAGCTCCAGCCGTTTAGTGGAAAATTTCCTGCCCTCTCTCAGGGGTCAGGCGAAGAGGGGGAGGACGTAACAGTGGCGGCGCGCTGACCTTTTAGTGTTGTAGGCCGTGTCGTGAGGCGTCTCTTCCAGCAGCGTGACGTAGACCAGGGCACAGGTCAGAATGAACAGCACCGTCAGGGTGTGGGCTCGCCTGCAGGGGCAGAGAGAAAGAGAGACGGCAAAAATAAGATTAGTGCCATTTATAGACGAAAACCCGTTTTGATGCTTGGATCAAGGAGGGATGGCGGCCATGTCTGCACAAGGTGCTGCCAGCGGAGATCTTATAAAAGTCGGCCGAGGGGAACGATTCAGAGAAAAGTCCAGAGCGAAAGCTGCAGAACTTCATTTCTCTAGAGTGTTTTGCGAGAACATTTAGACCTTTTCTGATCATATTATAACAGCCAGTATCATGTCATTTTATGACAAACTAACCGTATTTGGTAACACTTTATTTGAAGGGGTGTGCATAAGACTGACATGACACTGTCACAAACATGACATAACACCTGTCATGAACATAAAGAAGTCTTTATGCATGTTTATGACAGATGTCATGAAGTGTCGTTCGGTAAATAATGACGCTTTTAATGCAAAGTTGCTCTAAAAGTTGCATTAAAAGTCCATTAAAAGTGCCAACTTTGCATTAAGTTATAATTTGCAAAATCATGCAAAGTTGTCATTTTTAATGGACTTCCAAGGCAACTTTTAGAGCAACTTTGCATTAAAAGTGTCATTATTTACCAAATGACACTTCATGACAACTGTCAAACATTCATAAAGACTTCTTTATGTTCATTACAGGTGTTAAGTCATGTTTATGTCAGTCTTATGCACACCCCTTCAAATAAAGTGTTACCCAGTAGTTTGATGCATAAGTGACGATACATTTCCTCAGTCTTTTCCACTCTCAGTTGGTGGAAATGCACTCCAAGTCGAGACCTAAACCTGTAGACCATCTGTGGCAGGACTTAATACTTCAAGACCAACTTTGAAACGCAAAACAGGCAAAAGAAATTGTTGCCTGCATGTATGAAGAGAGAACAGAGACCCCAGAAGAAGTACAGAGGTAGCAAACCATGGTTCAACAAAGTGTTGACTACAATATACACACCAAATATGCATCATTCTTACTTGAATTTTACAATTATGAGCTGCTCTAACAATGAGCAAATTGTTAGAGCAATTTGTGTTGCTCCAACAAAAAAATGTTCACGTTTTCAAGGCAGAGATTTCTGTCTAGAAACTAATAAATTAAGTTTAGCTACAAATAAGCTACAGATGGCTAAACTCCCTGTCTAGGTTGTTGCACAAACATTGTTTCTATGATGTGGACCATCGACTTTCCTCATGAACCCACAACCAATGACCAAACTTTGGCCTTTATCATGCCATAGTGGTGTCACTCTGATATCTGTGAATTGTTACTATCTATAGATAGATTTACTGCGAGGGCAAAGTTTTATTTGACCACTTATTGATAATAACAGGGTTAATTGCCTCTAAAGTAAGAAATGAAGTAGCGTTCCAACTGGAGCGATGAGCTGAATGCTGGGTACAGAGAGAGTCGGGTTTAAATTAAACTTTTCTGCTTTTTTCTTTTTAATATATGCAACTGAAAAACTAACTTCAAACATGTGTTGCATAAAGAATTTATTTTTCTTCTTAAGGCACAGAACCAAGTGGTAATGTGAAACTCATTAAATTTTTAATTGACACTTTTTTAATTTAATTTATCAGGGCAGAAATCAAATTTGAAAAAAAAAAGAAGAAAAAAAGGTCAATTTCACATTTTGACCTGGAGATGCATGAACTGTAATATTGGAGATTTAATGGTGATTTTTAGAGCTAAGAAGAACCAGACAGAATTATATTACTGTCAAAACTAAAATCAAATTTACAACACAAAAAATAAAAGCTGTGCTCTTATTGTCTGAACTAAATATTAACGTTGAAACATTAAAATACTAGCAAATCACAAAAATGTAAAGTTTAATTTAACGAACTGCGATATATCAGCACTGACATCGGTATCGGTTGATATTAAAATATCATTATGATAAATAAAACTGGGCTGATATCGACAAACTGATATTCATTTCTTTTTTGCTGACATGTTTTCTGCGTGGAGGATTGTGGGAAGTTTAACCAAAACTGAGGTGAGGACAGCAGAGGTCATTTTTCTCCAAAGTGTGGAAAGGGTAGAGAAATATATATGGAAAATAATACCTGTGAGTATTGATTGTCGGCCGTAGCAGCAATATCTGTATCGGATATTGGTACAAATTTTCAAATCTGCGCAGTCTGTTTCAATAATCTGAGCTAAAAAAGAAGTGAATGAAGAAATAAATACATACAGATAAACAAAACAAAGCTCCTCTAACAGACCAGCAGATTGTTATTAGGACAGGTTTTACTTTCTGCAAGGTGAAGTCTAACGGCTGCATTTCGTGCTGCAATCACAGCTTCCACCAGTCAACCTGAAGAACAAGAGCTGCTCTCCAAGTCCTCGAAGTGAGTCATAGCAGCTTCAGAGTTTTCTCCTGGTTCCACCTCCTTATCCAACCTGTTCGGCAGGAGGAAGAGGGGAGGGCCCTTGTTTGCCTCCAGGCTGACAACCACACAGCAACAATGGAGGAGAACAAATACCGGTTCTGTGTAACTCGGAGAGAGTCCGAGATTAGAAAGGAGCCCGTCAGTAAACCGGAGACACAACCAGCAGTTTTAAATGGGTAGAAAAGTTACAGAAACAGAAACATTTACTGCAAATCAGACTGACGTCCATTCTAATCCTCTTATTTTTCCCCCTCCTTCTTAAAATAAAACCACTTTCCAGTCTGCCCCTACAAGGCAGACTGCCCCTACTTCTCATCTCCTCATCAACTCGAGACGGGTTTCCTCGTCCTCAAACTGTTTTGGGACATTTCTCCACAACCCTTGGTAAACTAAAGTCAGATCTGCTTGTTTGCAAAAATAAACAAATAAGAAGCAGCAGCTCTTTTAACCGCTTTCTGCATTTCGAGGCTGACCTGTGATCCGGATAATCACTAAATCCTTCGCTCTTATCACTGGCCAGCTGTCACCAATTTTCCACACATGTCTGAGGTGGAGATTACCAGCAGCGTCGCTTCCAAAGACGCATCGAATCAATGAACGACTCGCTGCGCATGTCATGTGGGAAGGATTTTACAGTTTTATTTTGACTAAAAGTTGCTAGTCAAACCTCTGTGTTATTGACATTTCATGTGACAGATTCACATAAAAGGCCGTCTTACTCTAAAGGGAAGCCAAAATTAAACACTTGGTTTTCAAAGTTCAGCCTCATCCATCTTTCGTCAGATCCTGAACCGTTTATTTCATTTAGGGCCATCTGAGTACGTGGGAGTTGAATACCAATGCAAAGCACGGTTTTAAGATTTTCATTTGTAACTTTTCTGAAATTTGTCGTTGCAGCGTGATAAAATGCGGCGAAAAGTCTGGAAAAGAGATCAAAAACACCGAGATGAGACAAAACGTGAAAATAAACATAATAATCAGACATGTTGTAGTTTAACTGCATTAGTTTTTACATTCAAGCGGATTTACTAGTTAGCTGAATAAACTCTAGATGCTCAATAAAATTAACCAGCAAAGATTTGCACTCAGTCTGGAAGAGGCTGAATTTATACAGACAATTATTGTAATCAATTATTCTGACAATTAATCAGATTTATTTATTTTTTAAAATGGCACATTCTGAAGAGTTTTCATTTATATACTTAAACAGGGTATCTGCAGGTTGTAGCCAGTCAAATTTAAGACTTTTTCAGACCTTTTTTTTATGCTAGCTGGGACAAAATGTAAGACCAAAAAAAAAAGAAAAAGAAAAAGAAAGAAATCCCTTTAAATATAGGAAATGATTGTGGGATCCTGCTGGATCTTATGGCCAAAAACAATCGTCCAGTCAACTAGTGATGCATTTTCCTTTAAAGAAAAAAAAAAGCTAGCTAGGAAGAGTATATTAGCAGCAAGTTAGCAACCACTGAGTCATAACTTTTTAAGGTTGCCCAGGCACCCTGTTAGGTTTATTTTGTACACATAAAGTAAAATGTAAATAAACATAATTCAGTTCCTTTTATTTTTAACATTTTATTGGCTAAAATACAAAAACAGAGTTCCTTTAGTGTATGCATCTGCAGCTGGAAAAAAAAAACTTCTAACATTAACATGTGAAAAGCTCAGCCTTTTTTTTTTTACTTCACTTATCAGTACAGTGCAAGGCTAATCTGGTAGGTTTTTTTTAATTAATAAAAGGTGATTTTTTTTTGTTCCATAGAATTTGAATTAGGGTAGAACATATTTACAGATAAAGAAGGCTGTTTCTTCAATGCAAATTAAACGTTTATACAGGTTTGACTTAGTCCACCTCTGACTGTGTTGTTCTTTCAGCAAATGGCCTGTTTTGTGTATTCTCCACTTAATTAATCTATTACTAAATTATCTGGGAATTATTTCAATAACCGATTAATCACAGTAAATCCGATTACTTGTTTCAGCCCAAGTTGAGTCAAACACTAAATAAGCTGCCACCAAAGACACTAAACCGTTACACTGAAGAGCCAAGACAGCTAGGAAAAACTGCTGCAGGGAGGGAATGACACATTCCCAGACCCGCTCCCGACCTACACAGAACACCACCTGCAGCACAGGACCTCAGGTTTGTCTGTCTGTAAGAAGTCTGCCATCTTCATCTTGTGTTGAGTAAGCAGCAGGGTGTGATATTATAGTAGGTGAGCTTGGACGGAAAATTTGAGTCTGTGTGAGGAAACCCACTAATTCAGCTCTAGCTGTGCTGGAATAAACGGAGGGCACTTGGGGCTGACTTTCAGACAACCTTGATGCATTATAAAACAAAACTCGCGGTTCACCCTCCTCCCCTGTGGGTAGGTGGTCGTGACACCCTCAGGTCCCCCACTCACCAGAAAAAGGTGTTGGTCCCGTCGTCGTACACCTCGCACTCTGCGATCCTCCGGTGGAGGCTCTCCTTGGACGTCTGCTTCAGCACCTTGGCTTTGGCTGCGGGGCTCGGCTCCGGGAAGCCCACATCAAACGAGCCGTTGTTGACCTGCTCGGCGGCGGATGCGGCGCTGGCGCACTTGCCGGCGGACACGCCGCTTCTCTTCGACTCGGACTTGGTCATGGCTGATTGGGTGACTGCTTTCACCCTTTTGAAAGCCGCCCGCTGTGCTTTCAAAGAAACGAAAAGCGGGGGGGATGAGGGGGGGGGAGAGGAAAAAGTAGAGCAGTAGCGATCCGGCTCGGTTTGGCTTATCCCTGAGATCTGCTCCTGGTCTGTGTGGTCCGCGTCAGCCCCACCCAGGTTGTTGCCAGCATCCTGAGGTGGCCGGAGAAAAATCGACGTAACTTGAACAACAAGGAGGGAGGGGGGAAAAAATTACCAGAAAATCACGTCCCGTTCGGTTGTGCTTAGCGGCGAACCTGTCAAACAGGCAGACAGGCACACCGACGCCGCCTACTTATATCAAACTATTTAAATGTCATCCGTTCCTGGACTGTCAGAAATGACGACTTCCTCCAAAACACGCTGGGAGGATTTTAAACTGAAGGATAGAAGCTAATAAACAAATCAAAGCTCTGCTTTAGTGTCACACAGATTGGTTAGCTATTGGTAGCTATTTTTAAATGTTTGACCTTGTCTAGGAGGCTAGTCAACTAAAAGGTGTGTTATTAATTAACCAGCCAGTATAAACAGACTTCTTTAAGACAGCGTTTCGCATTTTAGGTCTCTTTTTTTTTAAAGGAGTCAGGAAATTTATTAGCTAGCCTCTCGTGTGCGTTTGAAATGTAGCTACCATTACTCACCAGCTGGGTTAATATGTGTGCTTACGGGCTGTTAAACGGGTAAGCTAAGAAGCTGCTACCGCTCGATACATTATAGCAAATGTAGAAAACAGCTTTGCTGCCAATGAAAAAAGTTGTTTAAAGCCTGACTGTACCCACACAGACCGACAGAACCACTGCTGAGCCGCTTAAGCATTGACAATCAACTGCATGCTCCGCACACAATCACATGCTCTGAAACACAAAGGCGTTTCCGGTAATCGCTCTTCAAAGTAAAAGCCCCTACATCTCCGGTTACAAGCTATACGTCGGTGCGGGCGCCATATTGTGATAGGTAGTTTCGCGCGGTAAGAGTAATATTATTCCAGTATGCTGTTTTGACATCTGATGTAATTTGAATAAAGCAGGGGTGTCCAAAGTCGGTCCTCGAGGGCCGGCATCCTGCATGTTTTAAGTTTTCTTCTTAGTGGTAGTATCAACCTCTTTCAGCAAGTCAATGTTCTCCTTACGCCTCTAACGACCCATCATTTGATGCAGGTGTGCTAAACCAGGGAGAGAACTAAAACATGCAGGATGCCGGCCCTCAAGGACCTACTTTGGACACCCCTGGAATAAAGTGATGTGCAAATTCTGATATTTTGAATGTAAAATAACAACAATGAATAGAAGTACATAAGGTCATTACACAACAAATTCAGGAAGAAACATTTGTTTGGTTACAATACCCTTCTTATTCATTCAGGGAAGCAGTTAGAGGGGGTAGCCTAGCCAGAAATTGTACTACAATATTATAACAATAAAATAACATTAATAACTTAAATTGTGTAAATTAGCCTTCCAGAAGCCTTCCAGAAGCTTATCATCATCTGGGCTTTCCAAAATTATTTAAAGGTGTGGTAAATGTAGTGTGCATAAGCTTCTAAATGTAAAGAAAGCAATGATAATTCTTAAAAAAAACAAAAAAAAAACTCCTTGGCATTTAGAAAGTATAAACTTTTCATAAACCCAGCTGACCTACAACAGGAAACATCTACTCTTATTTCATGTCAAACACAAAGATGTATTTTCAATACTGCGTTAACAATAAAAACCTCAGCCACGGTTTTCTACAACTTTTTTAAAGGCGTCTCATAAAAAAATGCCACTCACAAAATGGCCGTGACTTGACAGGCATTCGGAAGCTCGTCTGCCCTTTCTGTGTGTCTAATGACGAACTGAAATTGTTTTATTATGAAAATAAAAACATTCGACTCGGAAGTTCAGCTTCGCCTACTCGCCGGTGCAGTCTAACCTCGCTTTACTGAGGAACCTTTACTTTTCAGTATTATCGGTCTGTAACTAATTAACATTCAATAACAGCACAAAGAGCTGAATAGGACTGTAGTTAGTCTGGGCTTCAGTTTGAAAAGAGGCGCTTTAAGCCGGCGTTTTGTTACAAGTTATTACCATGGCTGTAAATGGATAATTTGCATAGCGTCATATCCGCCTCCTTTAGAAATAAACACACAACAAAAAAATTAATCTACTTATTTACTTGAGCTGTTATTATAACACACACTGAATATATTTATTGCGAAAACCTATCTGTATTCAACTGTCGTGATTTTATTATAACTTCACAGTTAATGTATAAAATTGTCTCTCTTCATTTGTTTCCATGAAACATAAAAAAAAAAAAATTCTTTATGTGTCGAGCACATTAAGTCAAAGTTTGACTTTTGACAAAAGTCAAAAGTTTGACAAAATATGCTATTTGGAAAAGAACAAAGGGCAAAAAATTTCATGAAAATTCCTGGCGTATCTTTTCAGATTTTTTTTCTTTATAAAACGAAAGCGCAAATAAAATATCAATAAAATACATTGGTGATTGTGGTAGTAATCTGACAAAATGTATTCAGTCAAGGGGAACGATTCGTTTTTAAAAGGTGCTTTAAATTTGGTGACTTTCTTTCCTTTTTATTTGATGTTTTTACTTCTTTCCTGCTTTGATAAGCTCATGAGTTTGTTAAGAGAACAAAAGTTAATGATTAAAAAGAAAAGCATTTATGCGTTGGTTGCAAAACCTCCTTTCAGGCAAAGAGGAACACTGGGTAGACATTATCTAGTAAACCACTGTAGATTAAACATTTTTATTCACAAAACCTCATATGCTAAAGGTAAATGAAAGACTAACTAGTTTGAGGATTTTCTCATACAGTTTGCCTTTAAAAACAACAGTAATCTTCCTATTGAGATTGACATTTATTGTTTCTATGACAAAATAAATCTAAACCAGTGATATGCAACATAGAACATTGTTCCACTATACTACTGCATTGATAATTAAGACAGACTTTTAAATCAAACAGAGCAAAAGATATTCAAAGTAACAGAGAGCATAATGCCTTTTATAAAAGACTTCCATCGCCTGAGCTGTGAATCTCTGCAGCTCCTCCAGAGTCATAGTGGACCTCTTGGCTGCTTTTCTGACCTGCAGGGCCTACAGTACATGTGTCAAATTCAAGGCCCCGGGGCCCACATCTGGCTCGCTGTAGCTTCTTATGTGGCCCTTTCATCTCCAAATTACATCAATAAATCCTTCCAGTTTTTCCACAAATCTGCAAAATTCACACAAAATCAACAAATCTCCACATTTTTTTTCTGATTTTACTGCAAATTTTCTCAAAATTGGTCAAAAACATTGAGTTTAAGTGACTGCTGTCTCAGCCTTACTGGATGTTATAGTCCGTAATTGACTATAACTTGACATCCATGAGTAATAAAAAGTCACATTTAACATCACACATTAGCACAAATATTGTGAAAAATAAAAATCCTCACAAACATTTCTAAATTGGCATCACAAAATCTGTAATTTTGATTTTACAAAACACTAAAGCAATCACAAAACCCCAGAGGAGCAGCTATTTATTAACATTTTAACAATTTAATAGGTTTTATCAGTATATTCTGGCACAGCCGGCCCTTTAAGAGCACTCAGATTTTTGAAATGGCCCAAAATGAAAATGCTGTTTCCACTTTCAGATATGAACAATGTTGTCAGGCCTCCACAGAACAAACTGAAGGATTGTGTGGACTCTGAAAAGGAATTACAGAGTAACAACATTCAAGAGCTAACACTTGACCATGTTTCTGAAGTTTTATGCAGCCTACTGAAATTAATAATACTGAGATCGCCTACTGAATGGTTGTTTGTGTACATGATTTGGAGGAATGGAAAGATTTGGCAACTGGTTTATCTGGGTATGTCACATGCCTGCTTTAAACCTATAAGCAGCATGCAGAACGTGCAGGGTGTTTTAGGTTTCACAATAGGCTGCAGGCTTTTTGTTAGCAATTTTCCATTTGTTTACCTCCTGCAACACTCAGCAGTCCTGCCTGCAGAGCGTCTGAAACATCAAAGGGTCCGGTTTGTTCAGGTGAATGGTCTATGTCTGGGGCGGCGATAGCAAACATCACCTAAGAAATGACCTGCTACGTGTTCACAAGCCTGGAACGGCAGCACCCAAGCCAGACAAAATAGGACAGCTCACGTGAAACGCAAAGCAGACTACAAATCCCAAAATAAGCAATAACCTGATTTAAAGGTGTAGACTTTATAAAACTACAGAGCTGTTCACCAAGATTACAATGCTTTTAAACAATTGGGAAAGCCAAGATGATGTTGCCATGGCATTGTAAATGTCTGAAAACGAAGACAAGAATCATGGACTGGCACAAGTCTGGTTCATCTTTAGGAAGAGTTCACAGATGCATGAAGGCGCCACACTTCAAACATTACATGCAAGAATCACTCAGAGAGGAAGAAGCCATGACTTCAAAAGCAACACAGAAAAGCCTTGAAAGATGCACTCAGGGACAAAGACCTTCATTTTTGAAGACATGTCATGTGTTCTGATCAAACTAAAATTGGAAGTGTTTTGCCATAAGCACCACTCCTACTAACTTTACCCTCCACATTGTGTGCACATTATCTTTTGTTTTCCTTCAACAAATCTAAAACACTGGTTTTAGGCCTCATATTAATTCATCACATTAATTCATCAGACACACTGGGTTCATATGAACACAACCCAACCTGTTGCTGGTCACTGCCCACCTCATCCACCAGCATTCTGCCTGAAACTCGCTCTGCCTCCAGGCTGTTTGCAGCCAGAACCCAGACCTCTGGTTGTTTCCACTTATTTCAAAAGAGCCAGTTAAGCAACCTTAAGTTCATGCATGTGTGTGCTTTCAAGATGAAAGAATCACAGCCGGCCTAAAGAAGTCAGTGATCACAGCAGAACTCCAGACCGACTGCACCTGCTGCTTTGGTGAAAACACCAAAATCACCCCCCACTCCCTTTGAGACATAATAAGTGCAGACTTTCTCCTTGCATTTTTACGGCTGATAGTATCTCTTTTAGACAGCCTTGCCTGGGGACCCAAGGTGTTATCCTCCCACCTCATTAAGCCAATCAGTAACCAACTTAAAACCAAAGAAGCTGTGAGAAACAAAGATCAGCTTGAGTTATCTATAATCCCCTTGCTAAGATATAGCTTATGTCGGCTACTTTGTTGATAAAAACCTAAAGATGAAGTTACCACGTTGGATGGTAACTTCCAACGTTACCAACGTTGTTGTTTGACCTAATAGCCATCAGGGGGAGCACTTGAGCCACAATGTGACGGCCCAGGATGTTTGGATTTACGATTAGATTTTTGACTTGGCCGTTTTATTCTAACATTTGATTTGCTTTAAAGAAAAGCATCCTTGCAGCATGATGCAGCCACTGCCATGTTTTACTGTGTGGGTGTTTTCAGTGTGTTGCCTTTGGTTTCCATCAAACACAACAATTTGCATGCAAACACCAACATTTGGTGCTTACAAAGAACAGTGGTCTCAAACGATATTCCTCAAGGGCCAGAGTCCTACAACTTTGATATGTGTCCCTTGTCCTACACACTTGAATTAAATGGTGAAACTGCCTCACTAGCAGAGCCAGGTGTGTTGATGGAGAGAGACATCTAAAAGTTGCAGGACATCGGCCCTTGACGACTGGAGTTTGACACCACTGGGCCAGACTAATAGTTATGCTGTTTCCATTTTAAGATAATCGCTTGAACAGTGCTCTGTGAGATGTTTTTTTGGTGTGGGATACATACAAATGCACATTTACCTTTTAAGAATTATATTTGTAAAAAATAAAATGCTAAATACATGCATAATGTTCCTTCTACTTTACAATTATTCACTACTTTGTACTGATCTGTCAATTAAGAGTAGAAGAAAACACATTGAGATTTATGGTGGCAACATCGAAAAACATCACGCGGTATTAAGATTTTTGCAAGGCACTACGTTTTACAATAAATAATTTACAGGGGCTCATTAGTTCTCTTAACCACAACAATTGGAGAGTTGTGGCATTGAGAAAATGTCTCAAACTGCATCACCTGCCCACAGTCATAAACCATCACATGATGGTTGGATCAGCTGTTGTTGAGCAGTGAGCGCTGTATCCTCACAAGGAAATTCCTCTCTACGGTGCTCGTCTCCTTGCATGTGACTCTGATGGCACTCACATGGAAGCCATAACGCGTTCTGACAAGCTGGAAGTCTTGTCATATGACGTCACCGTGTGATGCGAGGGACCCACTGTTGTGTGTTTTAACAAAACAGAAAATAAAAAACGGCTCCTGCCATTTATCTTTTCACTCGTAGCTGCCGTAAAAGTCCTAAAATCAGCTTTAGAATCTGGTTAATCCACTTTATTTAAAAATGAAGGCCTGCCCGTATGTTTACACCACATCTCATTGGGATTTAACTTTGAACATATCAACTAGTCGCTGGATCAGGCCACTCCAAAACTTTTACTCAAGGTTTCTAGTCATTTTGAGGCGGACTTCTAGGAAAGTTCAGTTCATTAAGTTTATGATCACTGTTCTGAGCTATAGCACATATTTTTCTCCATGATTTTCTGTAAGAGATAATAATTCAACTATCTCAAGTTGTTCAGATCCTAAAGTAGACTTGATCGTCACGCCATTGTGTTAGACTGTTTATATGATATTCTATTGTTGGAATGTAAGACTTGTCTTTGTGTTCCTTTAACTCTATATTGGCTTTTGCCACAAAAGTCTCTCCTGGGCCCCATTCTTTCACATTCTCTCTTTCTTAGTATTGCATTATAAAACTGAGGGCAAGTGAGGTCTGCAGTTCTTTAGATGCTTCCTTTGGTTCTGTTGTGACCTCTGGGACGCACACTTAGTTTTGGTAAGATGGCCACTCTCTCTCCATATTTGGATGACTGTTTACAATGTGGTTGACTTGATTGCCAAAACCCCCCAAAATGACTTTGTAATCCAAAGCTAGATGTCAGTGACTTGCCTGTTCTAGAATTGTTTTTAGATCAGGGAGTGTCTCGATGGTACCGGACAAGGTCTATTCAAGTTATTTGTTGGCTTTGTGAGAATGGCAATAATCTGGGCTTAGGTGACATAGAACTCAACTTCTCAAAAAATCTGTTCAATCATGATTAAATAATGATTATTCTGCTTTTTGCATATGATTGGTAACTTGTTTAAATGAAATAAATTTAATTATTGCTTGACAATTGCCTTTTGTGTTAAATCCCATATTGTCTTTGAAAAGGTATGATGTTCTGGAACGTATAAGTGTGACAAAAAAGAAGGAAGAAATATACGCAAGAAAAAGTGTCTACAAATCCTTATTCAGAGTTGCTTTATATGTTCAAACTGCAGTACCATTTGCTTACCACTAAGGGTCGCTGTGCATCCGTCATTCCTTGCAAAGGCGATGTCCGTTTTCTCTCCTCGGACCTGAGGACAGACTCTGCTATGTGCAGGCAGAGTTAACGTAAGCTGTTTTTGTTAAAATAAGGCAAAACAACAAGAACAATAATAATAATAATAATAATAATAATAATACAGCACCTTCACATATGCGTAAAACAGCAGCTCTAGAGATTTTAAACTTTCAACCTTTTATTGTTATGATTAGAATCTTCATCCCCCGATATTGCATTGTTTGACCTGGTGTATTAGAGCTGCGGCAAAGGTTGCATCTGCAACATCTCTGCAGACTGGACTGGGAAACATGATCCAAAGCGCTCATTGTTTGCTGAAGGACTGAAAGATAAGGGGCCCTTGTGTGTGGACGCTGGCATGGGATATAACCTGCAGGTGTGTTTGAAACTGTCCAGAAGCAAACAATTCATAAGATAGTTGTAACTACAGTTGCATCTAAGATCTTCAGGTCGATTGAGATTAAATTATTAAACTGGAATTGTATTGGCCATTTTTTGAACTCTTGAAATGTCAAAAATATTCGGACACACGAGTCACTGATGCGTGAAAAGAAATGGAGATTTAAGTCCTTTACGCAGCTCCATTGATAGAACAACCAGGGAAGCTCCGCTGAGTTTTAACACCTTGCGTGCAGCAGAGAAATCATAACGCTGAGCTCTACTCGGCACTCAGCCGAAAGGGTAGAAGAGTAAGGGGAGGCGGGAGAGTCGGCGGGAGGGCATCGTGGTGAGGGTTGTGTGCGTATTTGGGGAGGGTTGGAGTTTCAGTCAGCCAATGAAGGAAGTCCTGGATCTACGCGACACGTTGAGAGGTTATAAATTGTGAGGCGTACGGTATCGAGGTACATTTAAACTGAGCTGCGAGGGGGCAGGGAGACACGCTCTTACAGCGCAACGAAACAACAACTAAACCAACACCTGGGTCTCTGTCGTGAGGAATTGGTCCTCTTTTCGGAGATGTCCCACGTCCAGTTATCGAGCAGCGCGCTGGAGAGGCTGGTGGCCCGCAGGACCTTCCCTCTCCAGAGGCGCACCGGCGTGTGCCGCAGTCTTTTCGGGCCGGTGGATCACGACGAGCTGAGTCGGGATGTGAAAGCCAAGCTGCGGGAGATTTCCGAGCGGGACCAGCAGAGATGGAACTTTAATTTCGAGGACAACACCCCGCTGGAAGGGGACTACGAGTGGGAAGAGATGCCCGTGGAGAGGACGGCGGCGTTTTATCGGGAATCGGTGCAGAGCGGCAGGACGCGCGTCCCGGCGACGCCCGTAAAGCAGACGCCCTCCTCGGAATCCGTTATGTCGGAGAGCTCCGACGGGGATGTAATGGAGCGCTTAGCGGTACCGGAGAGTGACCGCAGCAGCGTCGTCGGCGGCGACGGGGAAAGCAGCTTCCCGACCCCGGTGGAGGTGAACCAGGAGAACCGGCCGGTCACAGGGATCTCAGGGACTCGCAGACAGGCTCCCTGTGTTCGGCGCAAGAGGTCGTCGACTGCTGCTGATGACAACAACACGCACATCACAGGTAGTTACAGGGGTTTATTAATCTACTAGGAAAAAAAATACCCCCAGAGAAGCCGCTTTAATTTCAGATAAATCTATTTACTGTGACTTATATTATAATTTCTTTCATACAGACTTCTTCGTGAAACGAAAAAAGGCTGCCGACAGACTTCCCAAGCCTCCCATCTCGGTGAAACAAACTTCGCGAAAGAGGATTCGTTGAACGTAAGAAGAACATTAATTTAATTCTCCAAATTATTAATAGCAATTACGCCTTTATTTTTTTCTTCTTCGTCTACAAATTGTAACAGTGTAGCACATAGCTAGTCATTTGTGATAAATACTGTAATAATGTGGTTGCAAGTGATTGAGCCAGACAGCGTTATCTCGGCTGGCTGAGTGGACGTGGGGGATGGGGAGGAAGAGAGCTGGTGGTGAAATCACAGGAGCAGCTATAGTGATAGTAGTAGCTGTAGTAACACCAGCGAGCTGGGAGGGGGGGGGGATGCGTACGTCACAATGTGGCGGGAAAACGCTGCGCTAAGAAGGGGTGACGCCTCGCTGCTGCTGTCGTCATTCTTCTTCTTTCCGTGGAAAGCTGACTCGCCGCTTTTCTTGTCAAAGAAATGCTTTTTATTTCGTCGAAAAACTGAACCATATCTCTTTATTTCCTCCTTAGGTGGCGTTTTTTTTCTTCTTCTTCTTTTACACTTTTTTTTTTTTTGGTTGCACTACTTCCCTGCGCGTTTTTGAGGATTCCTACGGACCGAGAGCCGCTTTTAAGGCCGCCGGAGGAGGGGAAGAAGAGAAACGGGGACAAAGAAGAGGGGAGTCCCGCTATTCCGCCGGCTCGAACCTCGGTGAATCCCCGGCGGAACGAAGCCTCGACGCCGCCCGCAGCTCCTCTCAGGACTGAACGGTTTGGGAACTCAAAGGGGCGAGTGGGTGGAAGAAGGGAAAAAAAAAAAAAAAAACCCTAAAAGGAGAAGAAAGAAAAGGAAAATAAAAGATTAAGCTTGGATGACTTCTATCCAGTACAAATGTAGCATTCATTGTTGCTTTTGCATACAGCCACTCGACAGTGTTAAATGTTTTAACATCTGTGCAATCCTAGAGAAAAAAAAATCTTCTACACTGGCCAAAAGTGTACAGCTTTATAGAGAGAGTAGCATTTGTTTAATTCTAGTCTTTGTGTTTTTTTCCCCTGTAAATGTATATATGTTAAGTTTATTCTAACTTATAAGTTATTTATGTTTCTCTTTATTTGTCAAATGCCTTGCTGATTTTAGTCTGTTGCCAATTTTCTATTTTATTTTATTATTTGCTGTTTTTTTAAGACATTGTGGTGTTTTGCAATCTTGTAGCTTCCCAATAGTTGTTAAACCTTAAAAAAAAAACTAAATTTATTTGTGTCTGAGCCGTTATATGGTGTGTGTTTTATTTTTTTCCATACAAGTGCCCTAAGTAATTTTTTTGAAAGGAAAAAAAAAAAAAGAAAAAAAAAGAGGGAAATAAAACATCTTCAAATTAAACCTTTAAGAGCATTTGTGTTTTGTGCCTTGCTGGCTCAGGATCAATTCAGGCTTCCCTGCAGACAAAGCATGTGGTAGTTTGTTGGGAAAAATGCATGTATTTATGTTCTGCTCTGTGTTTCAATATGAAAACTACAGTCTAATTAAATTGAGTAAATCCTATAAATTAATAATGTATTTTCTGAACATGTTGCCGTTTTATACCAATCTAAACCAGTGCATGGTAATGTATTGTCTTTGTCATGAAGTACTTTAATGGTTTGAGATAATTAGCCTTGAAAAATTTCCTAATGTAACTATATTTTCTGAATGCCTGTTCAAAAAATATAGTACTAATAATGTATTAGTACAATTTTTTTAAATAAATTATGAAAGTAAGTGCTCATTTTTCATTTTTTTAAGTCTCTGCAGGGGTTTTTACATGTCCTAAAGGTGTCACCATTTACTGCTTATCTACTTTAAAAATTTACTTTAATCATTTTTCTATGTTCTTGGGTATTTTAATTAATTTTGCCACTAAATAGCTATTAAACGCTAAATTTATAAGTTAATTAGTAGCTATTTTCTGAGGACTTTGTATACATCAACAATACTTAAAGGTTTATAGCCAGAAAACTGTAATGAAACAGCAGACTCTGAAACCCGGTCACTCTAAAATAACTCTTTGGATATTCTTCTTGTATATTTTACATATTTAATTCATAAAACCACATTTCATCATGTGCTCAGAACCAGAACAGGACAAACCCCTGCAGGTACAAATTGATGACACTGCCTGGGTGTGGAAAAAGTCCACACAATCAAAACCGCCAGACAGTTTATGAAGGAGTGAAACGACCAGCATCTCAACCTGAAGAGTGCGTGGAAAGTGCGACCGCTCCGTGTTTTATTGGCTCCTTCGGCTCTCCGTCACCATCACAGATATAGATATCAAATGCCCCCATAGTGACGCAGCCACTTTCTGTCTGCGTGGATCTGCTTCACACGAACCCAAAGACCCTTTGCGGGGGGAAACCCGCATTCAGACGCAGCAACCCCTAATGGCAGCTGCGGGATATAGGCTCAGATTTAAAGGCCCTTTCGCCCCTTGTAAAGAAGCAGCAGCTGCCTTTGGATCCCCGCTTTGTCCGCCGCAAAGACCCACCCACCGCCCCCATCCCCAAACACACACTCGCACACCCATCCAACCCGCACTCGACAAGGCCCTCCAAAGGACCCACTCACACACACACGCACTCTGTTTACCCCGCCGTGGATACACCGGGCGTGGAGGCCACCTGCCAGAAAGTGCAAAAAGAAAACTACTAGTCTTTGTAATGGTGCTCGTCTATTGAAACAAACCATTCAACAGGTCATACTTGCAAGTTTACCCTTAATTGAAAGAAGCCAAACGTGGGGCCCTTGCATGCATGCATCCATCCATTGCTGCATCCATGCATGGTCGCCCGTCAATGCCCACAAAGCGAATACGGGGCTATATTTCATAATTTCTCTCCAGTCCACCCCCACTCCCCACCTGGCCCTCCCATGACTGTATGACACGAATGTTTGGATGGAAACGGAGACTTTTTGATGGTGACTTTGTCAGCCGTAAGCTGTGACGGCGAGCTTGTTCTGATTTCCAACACAAAGCGCTCTCTGGCACCATTCTTTCCTTTTTGTTGCCATATGGCAAATCCATGTAGACATAGCCAAGACCCATTCAGTCCAGCCACAGAATGTCCTGCGTCAGAGAACAAAGGACACTTTGTCTGGCTCCTCCATTGATACCAATGGGCAAAGAAAAAATATTATAATTAATCTATGGCTATATCCAGCTAATTAACGCCCATATGCCTGTGGGGGAGCCCAGGGCGCATTCAGCTCAGTTTTAGATCCCCAATAGTTTACATGTTAAAGACAACAGCTGTTTATGTGTTACTTTAATGAAGTCTCCGCTGTGTCAGAGACTGGACACATTCAGGCGGATTCAGTTCCCCGCACAGCCCCACCCGGCTCCTCCCTTCATGCCCCCTCCATGGTGCTAAACAGGTCATCTTCCCCTATTTGTCCCTGCAGCTGTGTAACTATATAAAATTTGTCCCAGTAAATAGGACCTTTAAGTCGCTCTCGTTTGCTGAGAAGGGTTCGAGTTTGAGCCATTCTGGGAAGGTTCACAGGTTAAGGCCTGAAAAACAACTCGCTAAGCTCTTCTTTAAGCCGAACAGAAATAAATTTGTAGGGCCCGGGCCAGTCTTTCAGGCGACCGGTTGAGACCGTCGTTTGTTTTCGGACTGCTTCACACGCACGGAGCCTCAAGGTTCTAAATTAGCTCCACAAAGGCCCGTCGGACCATTATAACTTCATTCACCGAGCGCATGATGAGAGTATGATGGACATAAAGGAAAGAGATGACAGCGAACATGCAGAGCTCATTAAACATGTCTTCGACAATGGGTCATCATTGTACAAGCAGCTGCTGATGGGGAGAATCAGTCTCATGGGCCCCGCAGGGCCCCCTGTGTGACCTTTGGCTTACATCACAGCATCATCGGCAAAATTATGATCTTTTTATGCACTTATTTAAATAATATCTCCTTCTCTCCTGTAAGAATATACGTTAAGTGGAAAAGGTTTTTCAGAAAAGCAGGAACAGCTGAGTAACACCTTGATTAGGCATTTATATTTGCACAATCAAACACAGGAAGGGTTACGTTTTGATTATTTGAGCTTGGAATAAAAGTGATGCTGTGAAAATCGAGCAGGACAGAAGAGAGTTTTGAGCTTTTGTTTTAAAATTTTGTGATCAAAAACCTATTGGACATATTTGTAAAAAAAAAAAAAAAGTCAAACTTCCCTTCAGATCAATGCATTTTTGTCTGACAAAAATAAAAAAAAGCTGACATAAACATGCTGAAATGCATGTTATTTCGTTTGAACACAGGTGAAAGTACATGCAAAATCAATTGGAGCTGACCGACGGCTTCAAATATTAAAAGCCACGCTGCACGGGACGTTTGAGCGTTCGGGTTTTGTGCAAATGTAGCGACTTAAAAAAAAAAAAGAAAAAAAAAAAGATTTCAGGGACGCGTTTTCCACTCGAAACACGTAATTACCGGGACGGTCTGCAGAAGACTGCAATTAAATATAGAGAGGAGGAAAATTGGCCAGAGAAGGGGTAAGGAGCTGGGGTGTATGTGTGTGTGTGCGTGCATGTGTGTGTGTGAGAATTAGCATTTTCCATGACCATCTGGCATCGGCGCAGGCGACTGGGAACAAAGGAGAGCTGGATGGAGAGGAGAGGCGAGTGTGCCATCGCATTGACCTGCAAATGAGGCTTTGTCACCGAGTTAAAGCTCCCTGACCCCCCTCTTTACCTCTTCCAGCTCTTAAAAAAATAACTAAAAAAAAAAAATCCACATTTAATTTTGAGTATTTGAGTGGCGCACGGGAACCTGAATAACGCACGCCTGGCTGTGCTTTGGGGCTCCAGGCCGAAACAGGTGGAGAAAGAGGGACTTGTAAAGTTCAAGCGACGCACTGCGGGTTATTCAGGGCTAAATATGCTTTAAAGTTTAGACGTAGAACCGAGTTCAACGATTAAACAGGTGTGCAGCTGTAAGAAACAGAGAGGAAAAATCAGAAATTAGTCGAGTTAAATGAGTTTCTATGGAGCAAACCAAGGATTTGTTGTGTTGCACGCTGCAGGGGAACCTGAAGAAGAAAAGTCTACTTAACATCTGCAAGACTTATTTGATGCTTGTTCAAGCAGATACTTATTTATTAAAACTGCAAAGTAAGGACTAAACAGTGCAATTAATTCAGACTATTGGATGACATTCCAAAATAATCCCAAAATAATCCTTATTTAATCCTGCTGGAAGTTTACATCCTCCTACGTGAGTGTGTGAGCATTGTGCATGTGTGTGTGTGTGTGTGTGTGTTTTGGTGGTGGTGGGGGTTCATCAGCTTGTTGGACACCTGTCTCCTTGTGAATGTGAATGAATAGAGTTTGCAAAGAAGCAAGAGACGATATATTTGCATGCTCATCAAAAATAATGACTCAAACAAATCATGAAATTGAGGAATTATGTACGGAACCACAGGCTTACCTCTCTTATAAACATCTAATTACAATAACAGGTTTTGTGCATGAAAACAGAAAAACAGCAGCCATTAGACAGTTCACTAAATGCACAAAGAAAAGCAAAGTCGTCCACCGGCAACATTTAGCTCAAAATCCTGGAATATTTTTAATTCATCTCAGAGGGAAATGATCTTGTACACCATTACCTTGGTGTACGGTACGAATGAACGCAAATTAGTCCAAATAGAGCAATCGACCGTGTGTGCAAAGTTTAACATTTTCCCACAATGAGGGGAATTACTGCAGAGAATCTGCAGGTCAAGTTACTTCTAGTTCGGCCACCAGATGCAGACGTGAGGCCAGTGTTTTCTCTTTT